GTTTCTAAATACCTCACTGTTTCCTCCCGCTAGTGAAACAGACCATGAAGCAGGTGAGTCAAGTGGCCCCATCTAGTCTCTTCACCACAACTCAGTGTGTGTGTATATCTTGGCGAAGTGCAGGTAGGCTTGCTTTATGAAGTCTATACAATGAATTAAATAAAGATGTGTGTGTGTGGAGGGGGGGTGGGGTGCCGTGGTTAAGGATCTGGACTCCCCTGAGGCTGACAGTGGTTCGAGTCCTAAACCTGGCAGCTTGAAAATCACACTGGGCATGTGTGAGTATATGCCCAAACTCCCAGGAGAAAAATGGAGGAGAAGGGATTATAGGGTGGCCATCTCCCCAGGGGGTAATTTCTCCCTTTCTTCTCTCACTGCCTCTGCCTCTTTCCTTTGAGCACATGAGTCCTGTGGCAAATACTTACTAAATAAATGCATGCATGAATGAATGAATGAATGGAGATATCTCTTCGCCCACTATAAGATGCAGGGAAAAGGTTAAGAGTGTGATATTTGTATATACAAATTCAGAGTTGAATCTGAGCACAACCTCTAGCTGTGTGACCTGCAAGAGGTTGCCCAACCCATGTTGCACCTCAGTTTCCACATCTATAGAATGAGGATGATAATACCACCCTCAAGAGTTTGTGAAGACTAAATGAGATGAAGTACCTCTAGATTCCCACAGACCTGGGGTAAATCCCACTACTAAAGCTTCCTTATTCTGTGACTTGTCGAGTTACATTTCTGATTGTGTTTCCCTTCTGAGTAACAGTACATGGCTCACAACTGTGACAGCCTTAAGTATCAGACACACAGCAGGTGCTAACGAAGCTCCACATGTCATCTGGGGGAGCACTCGTCCTTTCTGCCACCAGCCCCGGCTTGGCTTTACACGCAGCCTGCATAGCAAAGCAGAGGGAGGAAGAGGCCATGGTGGACATCTTGCTTCAAGGACTGTCTCCATGCTTCTGGCCAAAAAGCAGCAGCAAAAGAAAAGGACAGGAGGTGGCAAGGACCCATTTTAGGGTCTGAAGGGTGGCAGGAGTTTACAGGGCACCAGTTCTTCAGGATTGAAGAACATGGGTTCAATGTTCCCGTGCAGGGATACCAAGAGCAGTGCTGGTTTAAGTGAATGACCAACTGACAAAACCACAGAAACGGAGACATCCCTGAATCGTGGAACAGGAAAAGACTTCAGAAATGGTCTAGTCCGGCCACTTTGGGTTTCACAGTAGGTAGCTGAGGTCCTGAAGGGAAAGTCACACAGCTTGTTGGCACAAGTAGGACTTGACGAGTGTCTTTCTGCTCACAGTGTGAACTGGTTGCTCCCCCAAAGCAGCTGTGCTTATAGGAATGGCCTGTGGGGTAATTGCTTCGGTTTTAAATGGGGAGAGTGTCCTGAAATCCATAAACAAGCCGTAACTATATTTGATTAACCACGGCCTTTAAATGCAGATTTAGAATTGAGAGAAGATGGGATTTTATAAAAAGCATTGTTGTTTCTCAAGAACTGCTGCCCCATGGGACCAGCAGATGGCCTAATGGTTACGTCGCTGGATTCCCATGTAGTTGACCGTGGTTCGAGTCCCAGTGTTGGAGGCTTAAAACTCAATCCAGGCATATGTGCATGCATGCCCAAGATTCCAAGAAGAGAATGGAGGAGAAGGGATTGCAGCACGACCATCCCCCTAGGGAGTGATTGCTCTCTTTGTGTCCGTCTCTCTGTCTGTCTCTCTGGCGAGTGCACATGCCCTATACCAAAAATTCTCTCTTAAAAAAAAAAAAAAAAAACTGCTTCCCCCCTAAAAAAGAATTGTATCCAAACATGTGAATCCTATTTGCAGATATATATGTATACATCGAGATATATACACATGCATGCAGTTATAAATGTACCTGTATATATGCATTTCTAAAGAAGATGACTATAAAAAGTACTTAAACAGTTAACCTTGGTTAAAAGCTAATTACTTCAATAAATATAAGAACTTCACACCTCAACTGGTGTTCTACATTTTCCATCTGGCTTTGAATCTGAAGCGAATTAATTTGAATGATAAAATTGGAAAGCTGTGTTTCAAGTTGGATACTCTTTATTTTCAATTGTGAGCTTACGTGCTCACATAAAGCCCTGAAAGATCGCAGACTTTCAACAGCTCTTTAGTAAGTCTGCTGATACACTCGACTCTAAGGGAAATCGACCTGTGTCCTTGCTCACTCTCAGCATTCGAGTTCCCAGGCTGATTTCTCCATCTGCAGTAGATGCAACCCTGTCGTGGGAGAAACCACACATTTTTCAGTGCCTTATGAGGCCTGTAAAATGAAATGCTGAAGAGACCTTTGGCATATTTTTAGGAAAAGTATGCAGTAATTTGGACCCACAACAGTTGGGTTTCCTCACTGAGACCAAGTATTTAGTACACAGAGCAACCAGGCAACGTAAATCTTCTCCGTGGATTGCTATTATAAATACATATGTGCTTGTATATTTAGCAGCCCAGTGCATTCCATACTAAATGAAAGACCCTTAGTCTTGGAAGAATTTCCTAAGCGTTAAATTCCCATTGGCTTCATTTAATTCAGAAGACATTTATTGAGTCCTTATTATGTATCTAGCATGAAGTTAGAAACATCTGAGTAAACTTTCTAGACATGCCACTGAAGATGGTTTCAAAGGATGCATAATTTTTTTAAATTTCCCTGTTTTGAGACATAATTGCACAACTAGCTACCTTTTATTGTAAATAAGATCAAAGGATCCAGTCGGAATGATGAAGGGCAGTCTTTAGGGTCTATCATACCAATCTCAGGGCTGAGGGTAAAGAACATAAGTCTTGAGTAACACCAAATGAGCTGGGTTTCGCCCCCAAAGTAGAGGTTTATCCATTGCAAGAGGCATTCCAGGTAGTGACTGCACTATTCATGCCATAGTCTTTTCAGTTAGAGTCCAAGAACTGGGGTACAGTGTTGACACAAGGTCATTCACACAAAGAATCAAATTATCTTCTTTTTTTTTTTTTTTTGAGAGGTTTTTGTTATAGGGCGCGTGTGCTTGCCAGAAAGACAGAGAGAGACAGAGAGATAGAAAGCAAGAAATCACCCCCCAGGGGGGATGGCCACACCACAATCCCTTCTCCTCCTTTCTCGTCTCGGGATCTTGGGCACGCACACACATGCACCCAGTGTGAGTTTAAGTCACCGGGTCCGGGACTCGAACCACAGTAGACTACATGAGAGTCCAGCAACATAGCCATTATGCTAATTGCTGGTCCCAAGAATCAAATTATCTTTTAAGATGTTTTGTTTTCAGGAGAAAAAAGAAAAGGACCTTCATTCAGAGCAATATATGTTCTTAGCAATATAAGGACATTCAGAAAAGTTGTCTGAAAATAATATGATAAAGAAGTCTAGAAAATAACAAAATGTTTCTATGGCATTATGGTTTACAGTACTTACACATAATAATCTTATTGATTTTTAACACTGACATGGTTGGGGCGGTCTCAGATATTTACACCCAGAAGAATGATGCAATAAATAAAACTTCAGCACTTCACTAGGAGTGAATCATATTCATTCCTAAAGGTAATCATCTATCAGAAGAATAACAGTTCAGGCAGTTATTTTGAAAAATTTACCCTACTTTTAAAAAAAAAAAAACAGTAATTTTTGATGCCAGTAGATGGCACTAGTGGTATATAGTAACTAGCAAATTTAATTCCTTTTGCTCCAGCTTAAAGAGATGTATAGTCTTTTAGTGAAACATTTTAAGCAGCCAGAGAAATTGTACTATATAATCTTATTTTTTCTATAAAATGAGAAATATATTAATAAACTCCAACAGCCTTTAGAAGAGGTCCCATACAGCTAGTCTATGCATTCTAAGTCCACGGAACATGGCATTGCCTTGCCCACTCTGGACGGGACTGTCGCGGCCCTGATCCAGCCCTTGTAAACACTCTGCCATATCCTGACAGCCACACCGCATTGCTTGCCCACAAGATCAGCATCTACCAGAAGGTATCGCACTGAGCCTCTGTCCTCACGGTATTCATAAAAATCAGTGGAACAAAGCAAAACACAAATTGGAATCAGAAGAAATAAAAATATAGGAACACACTAAAAATTAATAATAAAGTGAATGAGTCATGATTAACAGAACTTCAAAAAAAATACATCGAGGAAAGAGGGATTATAAAGTAAATTAAAGCAAGAAGAAGTCATTTTGGATACCTGTGAATAGCTGCAAAAAGGTCTTCTGTGGTCCTGGGTCTGCTGGGAGTCATCGCCTCATCGCTGCCTTCTTCCCTCGGGAAGTCACAGGCCTCAAAGGAGGAGCCGGCTGGGTTGGTCTCCAGCACCCCAACTACAGAGAAGCAAGCAGGCAATGCAAGATGCTCAGTGACTAGAATTTCCGTCCCTAGCCAAGCTTCTAAGTAGGCTGCTTCCCCGTCATCCCTCCGACAGTTTACAAAGGTGGGGGAAATGACACTGAGCAGGGGAGCCTGTGCTCATTCTTCTCTGTTAAAGTTTAAACTCCCACTGAATCACTCTTAAATTTTTTCCTAACATTTTTTTGCAGCTCTTCAGAGGAAAGATTACTCATTGCTACTTAATACCCAGCCTGCTGCAGGTCACTCCAATCCCCCGATTTTCTGTGATTCCTTTTTATCCAGCTTTTTCTTTAAACCACAAAATGTCACGTTGGTAACTTAACCTGTGAGGGAGCACAGGACGGATGCTCTCCTACTGTGGCCCCACCTGAATCTAGTCTGATCTACCCAGTGAGCATTCCGCAGCCCCATCTGACTCAGCTGTAGAGGGTCAGAACGGCCCAGAAGATAAGCCAGACTTACCCGCTCCGTTCTGTTGAGACAGGCAGTTCTCCACACTGCCTCCATTATCCGGTGGGTCCTCGGTGGGCTCTTCCTGCCTGGGGGCTGGGGAGGCATCAGGCTGTACCATGGGGGCATTGGTTTCCACTGTGCTGGCACACACAGATCCTGCAGCTCCTCCCTCAAGAACCGAACTGGCGAGGGCCGTGGCATGAGCGCCAGCTCTGGCTGCAGAACACCCGTCTGCCTCTGTGCTGTGCACAGAGCCTTCCTCTCCCCACGTGGGGCTGGGCGCAGCTCTGAAGGCTTCACTCTGGCTCTCTGCGGGCTCCACTGTGAAATCTCTTTGCGGAGGTGGCACCACCAGAAACAGTTTGGGCTTCTTGGAGATAGGGGGGGGCTTCCTACTGGGTGAGGAATCCGGGAGCGGGAGCGGAGCGCCCCTGGACACCAGCTGATCCTCTGCCTCCCCAGCATTCGGCCCTGGACCGGGAGCTCCATGGCTGCAGCGGCCAAGGGGGCCGCCATGCTCGGCCGCACTGTCATGGTCACCCTGACTCCAGCTCTTGGCAGGCGTCGGAAGCGAGCTCGTCACGGAGGCAGGCTGGCTTTCACTCTCCATTTCATTTATGCTATTTCGGGATTTCAGGAGAGCAGATGGCTTTAAGTGATACTGTGGAGCGACCGGAGTTCGTTTCTCCTGAGCTGTTGGTTCAGACAACGGAGCTGCCTCGGCGCCTGAGTTCTTTCTCACCGGCCTCAACTGCACCATCTGCAACGCTTCGGTGGTTATCAGGGGCATGGGCGGCCGGCCGCTCTCCTCCTTGCTAGCAGGCGGTCTGCAGGCCTCCCGGGAGGACGCTGGCTGGCCAGAGTTTTTGAAAGAAGGCCTGGAGTCTTTCAAGAATTTGGGGTCCAGAGGGGGAGCAGGAGGGGGCTCC